TTTCTTAATGGTGTTCTTCTTGAGGAGGTCTACATGCAACCTCCCCCTGGGTCTACTTATCCCCCTCATAAAGTCTGCAAACTTCAGCGTGCTCTGTATGGTCTCAAACAAGCTCCGCGCGCTTGGTTTGCCAAGTTCAGCTCCACTATTCATGACTGTGGTTTCACCTCCAGTTCTTATGATACTGCTCTTTTTATCCGCAACACTGCTCAAGGGACCACCTTGCTTCTCCTTTATGTGGATGATATGATTATCACCGGTGCAAGATTTTTTCACCATCTTGCTCCAGTACCGAGGCTGAATATCGTAGCTCTTCTTGTTTTGCTTCATTTTTTCTTCTATTTGCCCCTCTCTTTTTTTTGGGAGAAAAAATTTACCAATGCTGTGTTTGGTTGGAGGATTTGAGGAGTGATTTGGAAAGGGGAATGGAAAAGATAAGTGAAATGTGAATAAAACATACTTATATTTCACATAGTTTCACACACATTTTTCTTTTTCTTTCCAAATCCCTCCTCAAATCCCCCAACCAAACACAACATAAAAGAATATCAAGAGAGTACATGCGAAGTATGAAACAGCTAACCCCCTAGAAAACCACGAAACCTCACTTCACAAAACACCTATTTTCTTTCACTTTCTAACCCCCAAAACAGAAAAAGCAAAAAAGAATTAACTTTTGGTGATTTCACTTTATTTTCGCTTCATGTCTTTCTCTTACCCTTTTTTTTTTTTTTTTTTTTTTTGGATCTCTCTCTTCACAAATCCAAGATTCAAATGTCACGCAGATTCCAAGCACCACTTCTCCGAAAAGCTTTCTCAAGGAAAATTTCCACAACCATTTCTATGTTGTTATGGCTTAAGTAAACATCTTAAGCTTTTAGATACCCATTTTTCATAGGAAAATTATAAATAAATAATTTGTTGGATTAAGATCTAACCAATCACATCTAGTTGGCTTATTTTCTTCACAATCCGGCATGTTGTGAGAAGGTCTGATATTACCAAATGTAATTTTCAAATTATTTTGGATAATAGTGACAACTGAAGTGATAACATAATGGGCAATTTTTATAACATGTATTGCTATATGTCTCCCCTTCAAATCCTTTCTTTATTAGTTTGCATCTTATTCACAGCATTTTCTTGCATGATTATTGAATTTTGAATTTATCCTGGCATAAGTAATGTAAGATAAATTGATAGAGAGAGAGAAAATAAATTGTGTATATATTGATTGATGAATGTTGTATTGAATGTTATATACTTAAAAATAACAATGTTCAGATGACTCTCTTATATAGAGGAGAGAGTGTTACAAAGGGGCCAAAAGTGGCCGAAAGAAGAAACAGGAAAGCATGCACTAAGGAGACAACATTATTAAAGCTATAACATGTATTGCTATATGTCTCCCCTTCAAATCCTTTCTTTATTAGTTTGCATCTTATTCACAGTATTTTCTTGCATGATTATTGAATTTTGAATTTATCCTGGCATAAGTAAAAAAAATCACATACTAAATTTGTCGCCACAATCAACTAGAGAATAAACTCGGCAACATCTTACCTGTGAGGGATATACTTCAGGCAACTCCAAACCGCCTGTCCTCCCATGGAATACCCAATCACATAAAATTTGGAACCAAGTCCCAACTGATCAGCGAGCTCTTCTATATCAAAAGCCATACTTTTCATGGTTCGCTTTGGATCTGGATCACTTTCTCCATATCCTGGTTTATCAAAAGTCACAAGATACACCCCTAGTTCTTCAGCTATTTCCTGAAATAATCCACCAGTGAAATCAATCGAAACAACTTTCAAAAACAACCCACCAAAGCAAATCATGAAATTTAATTTGTTCAACCACAATTCTTGAAAGTACCGGTGTTAAAATTGTTGCATCATATCTACCAGAGCCAAATCCATGAATGAAGACGAGCTTATATTTGGCCATTTCTTTTGAGACACCGTTCTCTTGATAGGCCAAATGCCTTCCATCCCTAAGTTTTATTCTAGGTGCCGTGATGGGTGGGCCGCCCAGGGAGCCACAAATATTGGGTGGCGGAGGGCGGGTGGTTTGAAATGCCCAGCCTAGAAACCCAATCAACAGCACCGATATTATGGCCCTAAACATCCCTGAAAGAATTTTCAAATTGAAGAAGAAAATATTATTTAGGCATTCAAACAAATAGCTTGGTGACAATGTAGTAAACAGGCCACCTTTCCCCTCTTCCCCTACCCATCAACCCCCAATCTTTCTTATAGATTATGAAATTGATTAGTTGCAAGTGGAGTATTGGCATGACCACTGATAAACAATAAGCCAAAACAACATACATTCCGACAAAAAATTGTTTTCTGAATGTATTTTGCATTTTTTTTAAATGGAAAAATTTATTGTTTAACAGATTGTTTCTAAAAACATGAAAACTACAACTAAAACTTTAAAACAAATAATTAAATTAAATTTGAAAATACAACCAAACATATTGAAAAACATATCATTTTCTTATCACAACTACTGAAAATTTCTTAATCATCACAAATAAAAAAAACTGTGTTACTGCCTCAAGAAAAAGGTCATTAATCATAATACCCTCATCCACATAACATGAAACATCTAGAGGTTAAGATGAACAATTGGGGCTCAAATGCAATCGAGTCAGTTGGCCACTTTTTACACTCTCAATTGAGAGATTAGAGGGTCAATTCTTGCCATTGGCAAAGATTGATTATTTGCTCCTTATTATTTGAGGGTCTTTATTTAGTTGTTCATTTATTTCCTATTACGGTCTAATTTGGACTTTCATTGTCCAGTTTAATCTTCCTCGTAATGATTGTTGGTATTAGCCTTGTTGGAGTTTATATGATTATCTAATTTAATGTAACTATCTTGAAATATGTAATATCAATTGACCACAAAAAATAAAATAAAATAAATAAAAATAAAAAAAGAAGAAGAAGAACTCAATTCAAATGCAGAGGAACCAAAATGATAATTTAAATTATTATTATTTTTTTTAATATCAGTTTCTGCTGCCAAAAAAAAAACTCTTACCCATTATTAAAATTCTTAGAATTGAACAAAGCATAGATCAACATGCAATAAAAGAGGGAAATAACAAAACTAAAATGTGACTTTCAAATATATAGGTAAATTCACAATAACAAAATTGAAACCTAATACTAACCTATACATTACATATATATATATATAGAGAGAGAGAGAGAGAGAGAGAGAGAGTATAAAATACCAAGGAGGAGAGAGAAAACCTGAGAGAAGTTTTGAGGGGAGAATGGTTTTGTTTGTGGATTGAGGCAGAGCTGAAGTAACTGAAATCTTGATTCTTATTCACTCTCCATTAATTCCTCAACATCTTCAGCTCTTACAGTATAAACATATAGATATATAGAAAATGTTCACTCACAAGTCACAACCCACATTAAAAAAGTCTTTATAGAACAAGAGATATCCCAAAATCTTTGAAGGTTGGGTTGGTGAACCCACCAATGAAAAAGTAGTCCCCAAACACCCCACAACAAGAAAGATGGATGTAGATACAACCCATGTATATTTATTATATATATATATGTAGAGATAGAGAAGAAGACAGAGTTTGGACGCAAGCAACATGGCATTTTCTTTCTGAAAGCAGAGTCATTTACTTAACCCATGCCTTGTTTTTCAAATGCAAGTAATTTTAAATTTATTTTTAAAATTTTAAATTAAATTCGATTTTAAATATATATATATATATATATATATATGTTGGAATAATCTCCTGTGTACAATAAATAAATTGAAACAAGTCAAACAAATAAATAAATTACTTATAGAATTTATTTTACCGAACCGAATAAAAAAATCAAGTCGAATGTGTGACACTCTGTCTTTAAGACAGATTCGTCCCGTTACGGTGTTTACGGATAAAAGGCGTCTATCTCTTAAGATGCAATGATCTTCACAAATTGTAGTAACACTCTAACCAACTTGTACGGCAAACAAAACCTGTGTTCTATACTCTCTAAATCTTTTTCTAAAATTATATAAAGAATATATATGCAACAAATCAGAATCTGGATAGCAAAAATGAATTTTTTTCCAGTACCAAAGACTGCTGGAAATGACTGTATTTATAAACAAACCAAGGTTGTCCGAACAGGTTCAATTTGAACCGAACATGTGCAGATTCAAACAGATAATTGCACTGCAGTTTCAATCTGTTTGGGCAGTTATAAAACTGCTAGAAATGGACTAGAAAAAAGGAACTGTTTGGACAGCAAAAATTTAATTTAATTTTGTTTAGAAATTCAAATGATTTTCCTCCAAGAATTTGGAAAAATTCAAATAAATTTTGTTCAAAAAATCAATATTAGAATCGATCCAACCCACAACCCACACCCGCGCACAGCACGGTCGGATGGTGGCGGCGCGCACGTGTGGTGGTTTGAGCTAAGGTTCACTTTATCCATAACTCTTCTCTTCTACAAACTTGGGGTGTCTCTTGGGGCTCAACCCAAGTGGTGCCACCTAGAACTTATATGCACACATAAGTTCTCTTAAGTTTTCAATCTAGGACAAGCCTTACAAGGAAACCCACATTTAATTATTTAATTGTCCATTCCAAGAACCCGAAAACGATGTCAACTTTCTATTTACTCATAAATGATTTTGATGAATCATCTTTACCGTGTGAGTTGCCATGAGACAAGGAACATGTACCTCTTCGGACCCATCCCAAAAGACGTTTGGGACCCATTCAAATTTGGGCTCAAAGTTAGCCCAAAATAAGTTTATAAAAAACCAAATTTTCAACAATCCCCCACATCAATGGAATTTGACGGAGAGAAAATGCAACAACATGATCTATTTACAAAGAGTATATAAATTGGAAATATTCTGCAAATGATAGGTAGCTTTTGGCTTTAAATCTTCCCTTGTGAAACACTATCGGATTTACTAGCTAACCATTGAATATGATGTCTTGAACTGTTCAGCCGTTTGTGTAAACTAAGACAATAGAACTCACATAGTATATTACCAGACACAGTTTAGTTCTCACTACTGTGTTCATTTCGGCCCTGAACAACCTAGTCTTTCATGAGTGCTTTAGAGAATTGTAGCCTTTCACAAATCTCATAGAACCAGTTCAGTTCACACTCATATAGGTGATTCTTATGAAGAGTATCGTGCAATACTCCACTAGGTATACCTAGATATAAGAATTATTAAAAAAGTATTACTTAACCTCAAACGTTGCAGACATCACTATTTCATCATAGAAATTGGTAGGAGTTTGACTCTCCAGTGATCCTTATGAGTCATACACAACTCGACTGTCCCTTTGAACCTAGATCTTGGGATCTCCAGTTAACTAGGTTGGCTTGCTGTTGTGGTAACTCTTATTTAATAGGCTTAAGTCTCATTCCCCTCGATGAATTCTCAACTAACTCTCTTGCTAACCCTTTAGTTAGTGGATTCGTTATGTTGTTTTTAGACTTCACATATTAAATGGAAATAATTCCATTAGAGAGTAGTTGTCTCACGATGTTATGTCGACGACGAATGTGTTGTGACTTACCGTTATACACATGATTCTGTGCTCTACCTATTGCTGATTGACTATCTGGAACAACCCTTACCTTGTCTTAGTCATGCTCATTTGCATTCATATGATTTGGTCTTGTTAAGCTTGCATTTAGAGACCTTGATCTGTTTTGTCTAAGTGTTGCTTGCATGCTTTGTTTCTTACTTGATGTTTTAAGCCTAGGTCACACATTTGAATCTCTTACACCTAGGACCATCTTGGAACCACTTTGGTTGACCTCCACCTTCACCCTGCCATATTGGCCGAGATGTCATCATCTAGGCCGAGGTAAGCATCACCTAGGCCGAGATGTGTATCATCTAGGCATCCAATATCCTTGATCCTTGCACCTAGTGATCTTGTTCCTGGACTGGTATGACCTAGACCGAGGTGTGACACATCTAGGGTACTGTTATCAAGGGATTAGGTCCCTGTACTGTGTGACTGTAAATTCTGTATAGACTGTACTGTTTGTGTATGTATGATTGCATGAAAAGTCCTTTTGCATACAGACGGTCACAGCTCAATGGACACTATTTATTTACTGTATTGGCTTCCGCCAGGCCCTGTACTCTGTTTTACTGTATTACTGTTCTGCAGGCCTTCGGTAATCTCGGATTACTGGCCGGTTACGGTGCTAAACCCATAGGGCCGGGTTTGGGTCGTGACAGATGTCATCATCTAGGCCGAGGTAAGCATCACCTAGGCCGAGATGTGTATCATCTAGGCATCCAATATCCTTGATCCTTGCACCTAGTGATCTTGTTCCTGGACTGGTATGACCTAGACCGAGGTGTGACACATCTAGGCCGAGGTGTGGCACAGCTAGGCCAAGTGTTATCCTTCCTAGTTGAGATCATCGAAACATTCTTGCCCGAAGCCTAAGTCTTGATCCGAGGTCATTGCCTTGTTAGAGTGTCCTTGTCACCTTGCTTGTTATACACATTTTGCCATACTCTTGTCTTGTCATTCTATCACTTTTTTAGGAGATCCAATCTGGCATTGCCACGTGTCCCAGCAGAGGGTTAAGTCAGGTACTAGCTGAGAACCCATATCATTTTGTGTCATACCTTTTGCATTGTAGAGAGAGAAGCTCTAGGAAGAGGAATAAAAGTTTAGAGTGAGAGAGCTAGATCTCAAGCTTGATCTTTAGAGTTTGAATTATTAGATCTGTGTTTTGAGGTTATATTCTTGATCTACTCTTGTTGTTCTTTATATTGATCCGATCACATTGCATGATCTAGCATGACTCATGAGTCATGCATTGATTTGAAGTTTTGTTTTAGAAAGAGAAAATGATGTTCTTGTGTTCTTGAAGAAAAGCTTTGTTTTGATCTGAAAGTTTGTATCAAGATCCATGTTTTTGTGTTTGTTTTCATGAAATCTTCAAGTATAGGTACGCAGGTCCATGTTTTTGAACTCATGCCGTGAAATCTCAGATTTTGAATAAAGAAGTTATGATTTTAGCATTCATGTTCTTCATGTTTTTCATGTTCATGTTCTTCTAGAGGAAACCCAGATTTTTCCAAACTTCATTTCCCTAAGTGTGGTCACCGAGACCCACCCTTGCCTAGATATCACACCTAGGCCAAACATCGTATCTCACATTGGCCTACCTCGCATGATCACTTGCACTTTAGTCTATCTTGCATGTGCACCTAAGCCTAGGAGACCACACCTCGGCCAAGAGGTGTGGGACCTCGGCCAAGACCTGGTTGGTACCCAGCATGTTTTCCCGATATGAAAAACAGTGTTTAACTCCCAGCACATGTTTTGTCTTGTCTTGACTTAGTTTTGAAAGAAATGCCGGGATCATTTGCACTTATGTAAAGCTTGTTTTAAGGATGCATTTCATATCCATCTTTGAGCATCTCTTCTTGTCTTCTTGAAATGCATTCAATGGGATTTATTATGTACTTGTAGGCCTTGGATCCTTGCTTTAATCCCCTGCACCCAAAGAGCTATGTGAGTGGTTTTTTTAATAAAGCTATGTTCTAACGTTTTTGATAAAAGCTTTTCTTGTTTTGTTTTGGAAAAGTGTTTGTTTAAGTATGAATGATTATTCCTAGTTTTGTATCAAGTACTATCCTTGTTTGAGATATCTCCCTTGCCACCGACGCTTTTGTACGGGTAGGTTTGTCTAATCGATTCTGAGTCGATTATTTCCTTGTTTTGTCAGGAATGTCATCCCTCGTATTATATTGATGCTAGTAAGCATCCCTTGAAACTTTGAAAGACTTGATAGATGAACTTGGTTTATCCCTTGATTTTGTACAAGATATGTTATGTATTGTTTTGGCAAAGATCTCGAATATCATTCATTCAAACCTTTATTACTAATATCATTCACTAAGTATCTAAGCTCACCATCTATATATATATATGTAGGTGACGAGCATGAAGGCGGTGATGCCTAGATGTATTTTGCAAGTTGTGTTCGGATTCATATTTTGCTAGCATCTTGAAGATTATGCTTCTTAGTTTGTAATTTATGTCTTTTGTATATGTCGGCTTGAGAAGCCTTTTGATCAAGATGTACTATGTACTGTATTTTATTTGTATTCAAGTTGTAAAACCATGTTGAGATGTATGTCATTTCATTTGATCTATGCACAGCTCTTATGGACTAATTAGATTTAAATTTATTGCTTCCGTACGTGTAAACCCCATATGTATACTCTAATTGTGTGTGAATCTTTGTAAGTTGGCCTCTGGTAATCTCAAATTACTGGCCATCATGGCAACATTCTACTAGGGGCAGGATGAGGTCGTGACAGAATGGTATCAGAGCACCGGTTCCTTATAGTACGTTATTTACACACTTGAGTCCCAAAGAGCGTAGGATGTCCCTTAGAATGATGTTAGGGTTGCGTCATACTGCTTGCTACTTGATAAGATGTGCATCACCTCGACATGATTATTTGGTACTTGCATACATGTCTATTTGTTCATTTTGTTTTAAAGTCATATTTTGCATACTCCTAGCATCATGAGA